AGCCTGGGAGTGAGCGAGCAGAGGAGCCCAGGCTGCTGGGGTGGGAGCAGGTGGAAACCAGGAGAAAAACATCAGCCAACTACTGTTTGGTGCCTTTCTCTGAACCTTTGGTTAGGAAAAAATAACACAGGGCAAAAGGACTGCTCGTATTTTGGGCTCTTCCGTCCGCTGCGGTGTGTGGCGCTGCCTGCTGTCACGGGGCACGGTCTGTCTCGCAGGGCTACGTCTGCTACAAGCCGGTGGAGCAGCACGCGTGCTACCTGAGGAGGATGGACGCCTGGGACCTCCAGACCCTACAGACGACTTTCAACACGTCTGAGCAGAGAGTGAGCAGCTGCTGCGCCCGTTCCCCGGGGTGGCTGAGCGGATGGGGTGATGGGTCGGGCTTTGCAGAGCCCCGGCTCGCTGAGGGTCCGTTCCTGCCTGGGTTTGTGTTCCCAGCAGTGGCAGCCCGCTGTTCCATGCCATTCATGGCTTGAGGGATGGCTTGTTGGGCATCTTAGGTAGGAGCAGAGCTCTGTCTTGCAGCGCAGGGCTGCGAGCGTGCGAGCTCGGAGCAGCAACTCCCGGTTTTAGCGTGAGAACCAGCGGAGGGTGCGGGCCAGGAAAGGGGGATATGTCCCCGAGGTGAGCGGCAGGGCTCTCACAGGACCTGCTCCCACTGGATTCTGTTACCTGCTCAAAATTCTGGGGAACAGAAAACAAAGGGGGTTTGTTAGCAGTTCACAGGGGAAAAGGTTGGAGTAAATCACGTATACGGACCCTCCGAACAAAACGTTAATGGATGCGTGGGCTGGGGCAGATTCTGTTTCAAGGAGACAGAATGCCCCATGGTCTTGTGCCCCTGCCATCCGCTCTCCATTTCCTCAGGGGCTCCTGGGGGCTCCTTGTCCCTTCCCCGTCCCGGGGGGCAGTGGGCAGTGTTTAACCCAGGGGAGTGTAGGCCCATGGCACCCAGGAGAGCACACTGCCGACTGGGGTGCAGGGAGAAGCATCTGCCAGGCTCTGAGGCTCCGTAACGGAAGTAAAGGAGTCGTGGTGCCAGGGCTGCCCACGCAGCCATCAAACAGGACCCGGCAGCGAGCCTCAGCCCTGTCCCAGCCCTGCCGGGGAGCCCAGGGGGAACCGTGTCCCTGCTTTCCAAGGCACAGGGCTAGTGAAGGGCTGTCCCTGCTCCAGCCTGGCCAAGGGCAGCCAGGCTTCTCCTGGGAGCCTGCTCTGGCTGGAGCGAGCATCCCGGCAGCTGGCGGGAGAAACCTGCCCTTACTGCTGGGGTACAGACGGCTCCTTGGGTGCCTCGGGAGCAGGTCTGCGGGGCTGGAGGGCAGCACCGGCGGGGGGAATGCCTTGAGAGGAGTTAATGGGGAGGTTTCTTTTAGGCTGATCAGCTGCTACATCAGAACAACCAGACCAAGTACTACCGGGAGTTCCTGGGCATTCTGGCACAGGAAGAGGTGGACCCCAAAAGCCTGGGGGAGGCTGTCCAGAGCCTGTGTGAGCAGACATCCATCTTCTGGGTCAGGAGAGGGCAGGGTAAGTTCCATGTTTCCCTTTGCAAAAGAGGGAAGTGTGATTGCTTCTATTAAAGACTCCAAGGAGCAGGCTCTGCTGTGCCAAGGCTGATGCACGTCCTGGGACGGGCTGCCAGGGACAGGTGACCTCTAGTTCAAAATCAAACCATTGTTCAGCGCTCGGTGATCACTGGCTCATACCCACAACCTGCTCCGAACCGCGGGGCTGGCCAGGAGAGGCTCCGTACCTCCTTCCCTGGGCAGCGCAGCCGGCACAACCACCACCCAGTGCGGTCCCCTGCGCTGCTTTGGCTTAACGCTCGTCACCTTCACCCCCCAAAAGCAGCCTGCCCGAGCTCTGTTCTCTTACTCCAGCTTTAATAAGGTCATACCCTGAGGCATTCCACTTGTGTGGCTCCCCAGAGACTCATAGCTGCAGGACTGCAAAAGCATTCCTCTCACTCTGCTTCCGTCCGTGCTCCCTCGGCAGGTCCCGGGAAGCAGCGCCTGATCTACCTTTGCATTGACATCTGTTTTCCAAGCAACATTTGCGTGTCTATCTGCTTCTATTACCTCCCCGAGTAAGCCCGGCGGCAGCTGCCGCTGCCCTCTCGCCGCTCTACATACTTGAACTGGATTCCTGCAAAGCCTCCGACTTCAACGAGGAAGGTAACGTCTACGCTATCCCCCAGAGCTTCCTGCTAACGTCGTGCTGCCGTTCGGGAGAGCTTAGAAAAAACAACAGGACTCTGCTCGGCACCCTCAGTACAGACACTTTACTTGCAGCTCTGCCGCAGGGCTGCGTCCCGTACATAGGTATTAGGAGACCCAGGCTAGAGGGACCGCGAGGAGTAGGTAGTGTTTTACGGCTGCGTGCCCTGTTCAGCCCCAGGTTATTGAATTCCTTGGGGTGGGTGGCTTTAGAAGAGTGCGGCTCTCCAACTGACTCTGAGGTACACTTCAAATAAAGGGATTGCAAGACAAGACACCAGCTGCCTTCCCTCTTTCCTCCTCTCCTTCCATCATTTAGAAAGGCCGATTTTCTTGCCCCCGCTGTGGGGTACAAAACCACGCAACGCTGATGCCGCAGGGGTTCCTCCAGCTGAGCTCTACCCAGCGCCCTCTCGCATTCCCTTTGGTCCAAGCAGCCTCCTTTAGAGGCCACACACATTCCCGTAATGATCCGCTCGGAGCTGGAGCCTGGTCTCACTCCAGGCAGGTGCAGCTGCCAGACTGAGCCCTCTCAGTGGAGGAGGGGATGGATACAAGCGCCTGTCTTGGGCTCCAGAGGGTGCCTGCCACTGTCGCACAAGGGACGGTGAGCAGAGGTCCTTCCCTCCCACACGCGGCCGTTATCCCAGGACGCTGTCGTTGAACGCGAGGCAGACGACTGCTTTCTGGTGGCCGCTGTATTCCCTCTTGATCTCCCCTGTCTCCACACACCAGAGTCTGGCCAGGTTATCGGAGGAGGCTGGAACAGAAAGTGAGCAGAGGAGTGAGAGATTGCACCACCCTTTCAACCGATAGTTTATTACAAGACTTTCCTTTTGCTGCGTTTGACAGCAGTACGGGGGCTGTGCAGAGCAGCTCAGGGCACTCCTGTATGATGGGGGGTAATTATTTTATTATATTCTTTATGATAATTTATTATTATTTTAACCTCTCCCATGAGGACAGGTTGGGGGAGTTGGGGGGTTCAGCCTGGAGAAGGGAAGGCTCTGGGGAGCCCGTAGAGCACCTTGCAGTGCCTGGGGGGGCTACAAGAAAGCTGGGGGGGCTTTTTCCAAGGGCAGGGAGTGACAGGACAAGGGGTAACGGGTTTAAACGGAAGGCGATGTCCCAGCTGAGCAGCCAAGTCCCATGGTAGTGAGGACGCTGCGGCTCTGGGCCTGGCCCAGCCCAAACGCAGCAGTGCCTCACCTGTGACGATGTACTGGGAGTCCCCGGAGAAGGCACAGTCCCACATCCAGCCCCGAGATGTTTCCCCCGGGTTATTGCTCTTAATGCTCAGCTCCGTCATCAGGGAGAAGTTTGAAGTTCTCCAGATCTTACACGTCTGATCTGCAGAACAGGTGGCCAAGAGCCTTCAAGGAAGAGACACGCGAGGGCAACCCTGTTAGTCCCGCTCGTGAAGGTGGGCCTGGAACAATTCACTGTCATCAGGTCCCTTTACACCTGTCTCATCTGCTTGGTGAGATTCGAGCTGAACGGACTTGCAGGAGCACACCCCGTTCACCACTTTGCTCCCGGAGTGCAGCGATTTGCTCCCAGCTGTAAGAACAGCTCAGGGCTGCGGCGCTGTCTGAGATCGCGGAGCGCGAGGCGGGCATGCTACGGACAGTGACCCGCTGCCAGCATGTCCCCTGCCTCCCGTCCCACTCCTCCCTCAGGGACCTGCAGGGCAACGCAGAGCCAGCACCAGCCAACAGCTGGGGCACAGCTGGCCTCTGCCTCCCTGGAAAGGGCTGTCCGTTCCCATGGGAGGTGGGCGAGGGGCTGGCACACACTCACGTGGAGTCGGGGCTGAACTTGCACTGAAGGGCGTAGCGGTTGTGCGCTGGGATCTTGGTTTTGGGGATGAGCTGGGTCACCTCCTCCCCGATGCCGCCCGTCAGGTTCCACACGTAGCAGTTTCCCTGCGGAGGGACAGGGTGGGGTCTGTGGCCGGGCTGGTGGTCACCCACCCGGCTTTCCACGTCTGAGCACAGCCCGGCAAAGCTGGCACGTGCAGACCACAGGAGGCACAGCCAGCAAGCTGCCGGAGCACCGTAAATCCCACCCCACGTCCGAGGCCGTCGGAGCTCACCGAGCTGTTGACAGCCGCCATGTAACTGGCATCGGGGTCAATGTGAACCGAATTCACGGAAACCTCAGGCTCTGGAATCAGCTGCTCGTTGTGGTCGGTCTTCAGGTCCCAGATGTGAATGGCCCCACTCTGATCGCCCACAATCAGCTCGGCCTGCAGGAGAACAGCAGCCTCGTCTCTCTGAGGTGAACCCCGCCAGCAGCAGCCGCGGGGCGATGCCCAGACCGCGCCGTGCCCTGGGTCCTGTTCTGCCTACTCGCTCCCCAGCACAGCGCCGTTTCAGAGCTCCGGCAGCCTGCCGACAGCGAGCACAGCGCTCGGCTCACCTCACCCTCTGCAAAAAGGCTGGTTAGCTCTACAGAAGCGTTTGCTAATTTTATAATCCCCAGAGCAGCCAGCGGCCACCCGGTTTCCAGAGCTGTTGCACAGCTCCCACAACATCCACAGCAGCCAAATGGTTTTCGGCACGTCTGAGAAGCGGGCGTTAAGGCGCGAGTTGGCTGGTGAACAACTGAAGCACTCAGGAATGTACAGAAACTTGAAAAACACAAGCCTAAATGGGTTTTTCCTCTCTCCCCTCCCCTCTCAGGGGAAGGACAAGAGCCAGCTGAAGGGCAGGAGTTCTGGCTCCGATCCCACGCTCAGACCAGAAGACAATGCTGGCGGCTTTCCACGGAAACCAAGGCTTTTATCGGCAGTCTGCGCTGTCCGCAATTTGAGCGGAATCCCTAGAGGAGACCAGGCCATGGGGGGCACAGCTAATCCTGTACCTGCGAGCAGGGGCTGGTTTCCGAGGAAGACATCGCTCGATATATTTAGCTGACTGTCGTGGTTTAACTCCGGC